TCGCGCGTCACAATTTCCGCAGACTGCCTCCCCCAGAACCTTCTGACACCCTCGGTAACGCCTTCGACCGCGCGACACCCGCCGGAGAACGCTTTTATCATCACCTCCTGGAAGCAAGCTGCCGAACCGCGGCGGGCAGCATGCGGGACTACGACGAGGTGACCGCCTTCCTGGGAGAGTGGGGGCTCTTCCAGCGCCTCATCTTCTTCCTGCTCAGCGCCAGCATCATCCCCAACGGCTTCAATGGCATGTCCGTCGTGTTCCTGGCAGGGACCCCGGAGCACCGCTGCCGGGTGCCGGACACCGTGAACCTGAGCCGCGCCTGGCGCAACCACAGCGTCCCGCGGAGGCTGCAGGACGGCCGCGAGGTGCCTCACAACTGCCGGCGCTACCGGCTCGCGGCGATCGCCAACTTCTCGGCGCTCGGGCTGGAGCCGGGGCGCGACGTGGATCTGGAGCAGCTGGAGCAGGAGAGCTGCCTGGATGGCTGGGAGTTCAGCCAGGACGTCTACCTGTCCACCATCGTGACCGAGGTGGGTGCCAGCCCCGCGCCTGGGCCGAGCACCAGGGTATGGGGAGGACTTTCGCAGTCTTTGAGCTCACACTCTCCACCCAGGGCAAGGTGCATGCTGATGTCACTCCCATTCCCCCAGCACACTACACACTGGTGATGGCCATCCATCCTCCAGCCAGGTGGCTCGGGAACGTTTGCGTGGTGACTTCCAGCCGGAGATACCCTCTCACAGCAGGGTGTCAAGCTGGCCATCTGTCCTGATGGCCACCTTGGAGAGGGAGCTAAGAAGGCCCTGGTGGCCCCGGCGAGATGCTCTAAGGCCCTGAGTGGTCAAAGACTTCCTCTAGTTGGGGTGAGAGTGTTGAGGAGCAGATCCAGGGTTTGGGCCAAGGGACTGTCACACCGTTTTTCTGCCAGCCTCTTGGCATCTGTTCAGAGAGGAAGGAAATACTCCCTTTCTTTCCTGAACTTCTAAAGTCAAGGTAAGCATGTGTATAAAACTGTTTCTTGCTCCTTTTTCCAGTTACTCCTTCCTCACCCACCCTCACCCCAAAGTGACAGTCTGATCATGCCTTTTAAGGAATTGTTTACTTTTTACTCATAGTTAGTTATCAACCTGTTAGGATCCATGCATCTGAAGATCTGTTCAGGGTGACTTGTTGACCTGAAATGTTGTCACAAAGCATACAACCTTAGTTCATAAGTGGGGAGAAACCTTCCTCATTCCCCAGCCCCTTAGATTTTTGTTTTGGGTGGCTTTTGTCTATCTTCTGGTGTCGACCCCCTAGTCATGAGAGCAGGATGTATGACATAATGTAAATGGATGAGTGTGCTTTGCATCTTACTAAGACACTGGAGTCTCAGCAGAACTAAACAAGCAGGGCAGTGAAAGAGCCCTCCTTGATAGGCACCAGGGCATCCAGGTTCCCCGAGTGTCAGGATCAGGGATTTACAGGTTAGGGAAGGCTTCCTGGAAAAGGAGGCCCCTCAGTGCGTCTGGGGTGTTCAGCTCAGCAGATGCGAAGTCTGGAACAGCAAGAAACAACCTAGAAGGAAGGCAGAGTTCAGAGGGAGGGAGCTGAAGGGGATCCCCACTGGGATCTCACAGATAGTGACATCATTCTAGTATCCTGAGGTGTTGACAAAAGAAGTACTGAATGGAGGTAGCTGGCTGTGTTTTATGGCCCAAGATTCCACGGAGGGAGAATCAAAACTTCCTGTCATGGCAAATCCTTAGTCGTAGCTTCACAAGCAATTCTGTCACCTTTCTGGAGGCCAGTGAGAGTAGTGAAAGCAGACTGTCTCACTGGTCGCAGGCAGAGGCCACAGAGGGAAGCCATACTCCATGACACAGGGGTTCCTGCAAATTTTGCTTTTAGCTGCTCATGGAAGGGACAAATCAGAAGAAGCTCATGGCATCTCTGGGTTTTACCCTGACCCCTAGGATTCCTGACTTACTCTCATCATCTGTTCTTGCTCCGCTGCCTTCATCCTGCCCTCGGCTGAGAGTGGTGGTGCTACTAATGAGCTCCTCCTGCCAGAAGGGTCCTTACCTTAAGTTGCTGGCAATGTCAGCTTTTCCGTTTTTATATTTAGCCTATTTATTTTACTGTCTTAGCAGTTTCATAAGAGCTGTGTGCCCTTTCACCTACTGACAGCTTGTCAGTCTTTGCTGGGAGGCCAGATTAATACCTTACTTAGCCCCTTGTTTGGGGATGCTGGAATGCCTGACTTGACATTCAGGGCTGCTTGTTCCTCTCAGGTGAACAGTCACTGTTAGAAGCTCTTCCATTAACATTCTGTCTCCATAGCCCAGACTGCAGCCAGAAAATTTCCTTTAGAAACTTCTAGCTCTTGCACCCATGAGTTGGAGTCTGTTCCGCCAAGGCCTGGCAGTCCTCTTTGTCCCCTTGCCTTCTGCCTGTCTCCGCTTCCCAGAAACCCCCTACCCCAGCCCTTGGCCTTCTGCCTGTCTCCGCTTCCCAGAAACCCCCTACCCCAGCCCTTGGCAGGACTCTGACTTACTCCCTGTTGTCCTAGAAAGCCTCTTTCTCTGGACCAGCTTTTCTACCAGCCTTATTTCATACATAGGTAGTCTCGTAAGATAGGAGAGCCCCCACTGTTACCCACAAGCCCACATCACCTGAAGGAAAGGCCACATAGACCGGGAGCGGCTGGGGGCTGGGCCTAGTCTGGGGTGGAGAGTCGGGACAGACCTGGAGCTTGCACCTCCCTGCTGTGCCCTTGCTGACTTCTCTGACTCAAGGGGAGTGCAGGTCCTCATCCCTGCCTTTGTAGTGCATGGCAAGTCAAAGAAGCTCCCCGCTGGGTCCCTGAGGCCCCCTGTGCACATGCAGTCAGAGCAGACCCATGTGGCCCTGAGTGATCAGATTGAGCCCCTCTCTAGCTGGTTGAGAACCCACACTCTGGGTCAAAGTTCTGACAGTTGCAACAGAGAAGGGGCTGAGGAAGCAAAGAAAATGTATTCTAGAGATCGAAGTTCAGGTTTCTTCTGGGCTTTGGGCAACCGAGCCCAAAGGATACTATGATGTTGAAGGTTCACAGCCTTTTTTTCATCTGTTCACTCACCCACCTATGCACCAAACAGCTACTGAGCACCACCTCTGCAGGGCACTGCCAGGCATTGTAGAGGTTATGATAGCAGACACTTCTCCTTGCCCTGACAGCCTTGGGGCAAGGATCTGTCAATAATTGCAGCAGGAAGCAGAATGAAATATGTATAGGAATACTTGACATTCAGTAACAAGTGTTTCTTACCTGTGTATTTGCCTACTGAAGCAGTCAGGCTAGGTGCAATTCAGGGAAGAGCTCCTGCCCTATGGGCACAGACCCTATGTCTGTTCCCTTCTAGCCTACTCACAGATAAGAACATCTAGTTCCAGGTAAAAACATTTAGAATCTATTTTCTATAACCAATAAGCAGCACCAGTTACATACTACATACAAGAGACACACTTCTCTTTCTTAAAAATGTTAACAACTGTATTGAGGTATAAATGACATAAAATAAACTGTATGTGACTAAGTGTGCAGTATGAAAAGCTTTGATGGATATGAAAGGCACATTTCTTACCAGGAAGGATAGCAAGTCTAGGCCCCTTGCCAGAATCGTTCCCAGATTTTTCAGGTTGGGTCCTCAGACATTCCCCTTTCACAGCTCGCCTAGCTGAGGGGTCACGATGCTAGACTCATGACCTGAATCTTAAACCTACACCTTTAGTTCTAACATTGATACCTGTTATCATCAGCCAGTATAGCCCATCCAATGCTCCAAGTGGAAGCATCAATGAGCTTGTCTGGAACTGCTTTAGTCATGGCTGGGGAGTGAGGAGCTCAGTGTAGGAGCACTAGATTCCTTTGTAAGCACAAGGCCAGGACACACAGCCTGTATGCTATGGCCTCTCATCCCACCCATCCTAAGGAGGATTCAAGCCAGTTCCTAGAGTTCACTGCAGTCCATTTAGTGGGTAACAGGTGAGTGGCTAGGTTGGCTAGGTGGGACCTAGTCCATGCCTTCCCCTGTGTTCATTTTTTGAGACCAATTATCTGTCCTGACCCTATACACAGGCCCCCCATGTGACTAGTAGGAAGTGTTAGCCCATGTTTGCTTTTGGAAGGCCCAAAGCCAGGTCCTGAGAATTGTCAAGAATTATTAGTGGTGGGTTGAGAGCCCAGCTACTCCAGGCAGTTACACACTTGCCCAGGGCAAGGACAGGTTGGACCAAGTGGCAGGGGTGAAGCTATGGGAGCCGAAGACATAATCTGGGAACTTGTCCCAACATGAGCACTAGTCACCTTGTCTCCTTGCCAGCCCAGATTTTTCTAAAACCCTATATTGAGAAACCTGACATGAGTTGGGGAGACAAACACCCCAAGCCCCTGTGGATTTCTAGTCTAGTTCAGCTATATTAGTCCCCAACCCTCATGAGAGACCTGGTGAGAAACAGCTACTAAGTCTTTATTCATTTTTTCATCTCTGTTGCTACAAGAGTAATGTGTACTAGCTGGGAATAGATCCTGTCACACTCAAGAGCAGCAATAGCCATGATCTGGCCCCTGAAGCTCTGCCTAACACCCTCCCTAATACCCAGAGGCCAGCACCCGAGTCCCTCATCTCTGACTCCTGTGCCACTTCCGTCCTTACTTGAGCAGCCATGTCTGGATGGGGGTATCTGGGTGCTGGCACCACTGAGGCTGCAGAGGTAGTAAGGTTGCCATAGCCCGGCATTCAGGCCTTAGTGTTTCAAAATTCTGGCTTCCTGCTAGTCTTGACTTCCTCTAGCTATAGGAATTGGAGACACCCAATTCTTCCCTGGGGTGGGGCCACCACCCCGTTCTCAATCCATCCAAAGTGCCAGAGTGGAGAGCCAGCTGTGTGGCTAAGCCATCCTTATCAGCTGCAGCGATTTTTATGGCAGCCCTCAGGCTGTGTGCACACATTGCGTAGCAGAGCAGAGAAGCAGACTTGTTTTCCCTCTGTCACTTAGCCTAGAAGAGATTCTTTGTTCTTGGGAGCCACATACTCCCCCTGCTTCTCTTGTTGCTGGGGAGCCTGCATACTCCATGGAGGGCAGGCCAGTAGCCTGGCACCAGACAAGCAGGGGTCTACATTCCCTGGCAGGTGGCCTGCTTGGTTACTGCAGAGCGCCATCTCTCTGTTCTGGGAAACATTTTTCTGGGAACCACCAAGCTTCCTGTCTTGGCTTTTCTTCCTCCTTTTGACTCCTTGTTAGGCTGGAGTGGCCTCACATCTGCGTGTTCAGCTGCTTCCCCAAGCCCACAGACCACTTTTCATGGTAACCATAGATGAAACTACTATTGGGTGCTGGGAAACTCAAACCACGTAGCCTGTTCCCTACCCCAATCCCTGTATTACAATGAGGAGGGGAATCTTATCTGAGGTTGGATAACCAGTTAACAGTAGACTAGAAGCTAAAGCCCAGTTTCTTGACCTCCATCTCAGAGCTCTTAGCTGTAATCAGGCCTAGTGTTAATGCAGCATCAGGGATCCCAGCTCTAAATATCCCCAGAAGGTCCCAGAAATCATCAGCCCAGGGTGAGGGACTGAGCAGAGCTGAAGGAACAGATCCAGACAGCGCATCTCAGGCCCCCTCTGGCCACATTCCTTGCTGGATACCTTGACCCTTAGAGCTCCAGAGCCCTGCTCCAGAAGCACTTCTGTGCCATCCTGCCAATGACTCCAACCTCACTGAAAGGGTGTCCTGCCCATCTACAGCCCTGGGCCCTGCCCAGGTTCTTCAAAGTGACTATGAGAGGCCTCGCCTTCTCCTGGATTAGAACATGGGCAGAGTATGTGCTCCATGCCTCTCCCTTCTTCAAATTAGAAGCAAAACAATGGGGCTAAAAGCTATGAAAAACTGGACAGGGAGGGAGCCCAGTCTCCATGTGAGGGGGAGCCTGCTCCCTGCCTTGCTGCCCAGATCAGCCATTGCTGCCTAAACAAAAGAACTTTCACCCACGTGGTCATGTAAACAGAGTGCAGGAATGCAGGATGTTTTGATTTAATTTTCCAAGAAAGCTTATATTTAAAACATTTTTAATAGAAGTGAGTAATCTCTTTGCTCCTCTTACAGTGGAACCTGGTGTGTGAGGACGACTGGAAGGCCCCGCTGACAGTGTCCTTGTTTTTCGTGGGTGTGTTGGTGGGCTCCTTCGTTTCGGGGCAGCTCTCAGACAGGTAAGGTGGATGTCTATCTCCTGCAGTTGCTGGAGACCCCAGCACTGAGCAAGGAGTATGTATGTGCCTGGCTCATGACTTCAACTGGTAGTGTTCTTTCAGTCCACGGCCTTGCATTTTAGAAGAAAGGGAATCCCAGTCTACAGTACAGATGCCACACCAAATAAAGAGAGCCAACAACCTCCTCTCCCTAATTCTTCCAAACAAAACAACCTGAGCTGAGTGTACCCATGCTGAATCAACTGGATTTGACCAGGAAATATGTCATGATTCACTTTGGCACCAGCCTGGCTGGCCCTCCTTAGGTGAGCATGACTCTTTCAAGTCCCCAAGCGTGGGAGAGGTGGACAGCACACACACGCACGCACACTGTATTGTAGATCTTAAGGCGTACCATGGATGGCCGTTGCCATATTCCCAAAGCCACCACTCTCTCTGCAAGGTAAGAGGAGATCTCAGTAGCCAGTAGTGATGTGGTAGGCAGAACTCGTGTCCACTGGACTGATGCCCCTAAGCTAAGAGGCCTGTGGTTATGGCACTTACTTCACAACAAGCAGGAAATGTGCTGCTAGATGAAGGATCTGGGGAATCTGTTTTTTACCCATAAACAGTTTATTAATGGAATTCCAAGGCTGTTAACTCACAGTTCATTCTTGACTTAGGGAGTTCATGTACTCTTGAAATTATAGGCCAAATTTTAGAGATTGTATGTGAGCATTTTTCTGGAGAGAGGTCTGGAGTTTCTGTGAAGTTCTCAGAGGGGTCTGTTATATTGCAATCTCCCTATCCCGGAGCTTCGGGGTCTGTAAGAAGAAGAGTGGCCTACAGCTAGGTCCTTGGCCACACTGTGTCACCCAATGGAGAGGAGTCCCAGCGTTGTCCCAGCTGATTGGGGTCTCTAATAGAGAAGCTGAAGAGGAGAATGTCATATTACATAAGAACAAAGCCACTTTACCCTGTAGCAGATTCAGGGTGTTGATTTGGTATGTTTACATGTATGGGTTATTGTCTTTACCTGAGAAGCCTTTCCTCATGAGAAGTATGTGCATTTCTCACTAGATTTGTCTTTTCCAGAATATCATCTAGCGATTTAAAAGAAAGGGACAAACTCCTGTAGTCACCAGTGAGCAGTAAGGGTTAAGTAGGCCATGGCCACTAACAAGCCATAGACACTTGCCCTTTTGGGCAAAGGCCTGTGCTTCCCCAGATCCTTCATCTAGCAGCAAGCATCAGCCAATTACTGATATTTATTTAACAAACACATAGCACCTAATATGTGCCTGACACTTTTATAAGCACTGTACAGATTAAACAATAATAATAATTTAATCTTCATAACCCTATGAAGTAGAAAGTATTAGTAGTAGTATTCTACAGATGGGGAAAATGAAACCTAGAGAACTTAAATGACTTCTCTCAGAGTCACATAGCTGGTAGGTGGCAGAGCTAGGATTTGGGCCCAGGGAGTCTTGACCCTCTGTGTTGTGTAGACTACCATTCTAGGGCCGTGCTCTTCTAGAATTTGCCTTCTAGCAAGGCAGAATGCATTAAATGACTAATTGAGGGGAGAGCTTGTTATCCTTGGCGCCAGTAAGTGATACCAAGGAGAAGTGCAGATGCTAAGAGATTCTGACAGAGGAGGCGAGGAGACGCTGCCCCAAGAAGGTGAAGCATGTGCTGTGAGTTGGTAGATGAATTGAAGTTAGCCAGCCAAGGGGGTGGAGAGAGGAAAAAGCATTCTGGGTGCAGAGAGCAGAATGAACTTAAGTCTAGACTCAAGAAAAGGCATAGCATACATTAGGACCTGGAAAAAAGTCCTCTGGTGGAGGTATGGAGAGTGGTTAGAGATGAGCAGAGAGGCAAGCAGAGCCCCAAGCAGAAGAGCAGGTGAGCTTAGCAGATGATAGTCAGGAGCTTGGGTTTTAGTCATAGAGCATTGGGGAGCCATTGAGAATGTTTTAAAGCAAGACTGTGACATAATCAGATTTGCAATTTTTAAAAGATTATGTGATAACTTTGTGGAGAAAGGATTTAAAGGGGAAGCAAGAGGGATTGTGGAGAGACTAATTAAGAGGTTATCACAATAATTTATGCAGAAAATGGTGATGGCTTGGACTAGACTGCGGGTGGTATAAATGGAGAGGAGTGATAGGAGGTAAAACCAACAGGATTTGGCTATGGGCTGGATGCAGAAAATGAGAGAAAGGTTTCTGGCCTACACAACCAGGTAGAAGACAGTGCCCTTCTCTAAGATGAAGAGCTTGGGAAGAAGGGAAGACAGTGAGTTCATTTTGAGCATACAGAATTTGGGGTGATTATGAGAATCCTAAGTAGAGGAATTGAGTATGCAGTTGGATGTATGGATATGGTGCTCCATGAGAGGTTTGGGCTGGAGAAGCACATTTGGTAATAGAACCCTCATCACAGCCCCTGTCATGGATGTGATTGCCTGGGGAGAGTGTAGAGTGCAAAGAGAGGGTGCATGGGACTGAGCTTAGAGGCCTCCAAGTGGGAAATGCCCTCTCTCAGGGTTGAGTGGCAGCTGAGACTCAGAGGAATTAGTTTGATGTGGAAAACAAGGAGGAGGTACCCCAAGATCAGAGTTGAGAGTCAGTGCATTTTTCTGGGTCTACTGTGTCATGGGTTCGGTAGGTCTTTGTGGGCGAGCCTAAGAGCCCGATGACCATGTAACACCCTGATTACCTGAGGAAAGTCTTTCCAAAGGATCTCCCAAGGAAACAGAAACAAAACTAATGAGTATGTTAAAGACTACGTTCGTCTTTAGAAGTATTAGTACAGCGTTTATCAAAACTGTAAAAAAATTTTTGTCAGCAGACTTCCTTTAAGTAGGATCATTTGAGTCCAGTAAATAACTACAAGTATGCCATTCTGGCAGAAGCCCCAGCCTTCAGCTCCCAGAGCCACCCCTCAGGCTCACCTGCAACCCAAGGAAGGCCCAGGGCTCTATGGGGGGCACAGTTTCTCTTACTACTTCTAAGTACACCAGTTCACAACCTAAATCAAACAACATTACCCAAGAGCAATAAATTCATTACCTCAACTTGTCTAGGATACCAATAGCAACTTTTTATGTAGGACAAAGGTTTAACTTTCATTCTAACATATGAATAAGGCGGAAGTCCAAGAGCAATAAGATAATCCTGGATTTTCAGTCTTTTGTCTGACACTGAGTTACCCTTATGTGCATGAATTAAGAGAGGTACAGCCCTGGGAAGAAGCAGGCTGATATTTCCTGGTTTTGTAGGCATGTATATGTTTGACGTTTTATTGACATACTTTAAAAGTGAGTGCTTCTTGCCCCAGTCCCAGACTGCCAAGGGCCTGGTGCTATGTCAGGATTGCCTGGGTCTTTCTCTTTCCCACCATCCCAGGGAGCCCTTGGGAGTGAAGGCAGGGGTAGAGGTTATAGCTCGGCCTGCAGTAAGGGGCTGCCCTTGGATGGCATGTAGGGTGCTCTGTAACAAGAAAAGGCCAGCGAAGGGTGGAGGGTGACAAAATTTCCTTCTAGACCAGGGTTTCTCCCCACTTTGATACTATTGACATTTTGAGCCAGAGATTCTTTGTTGTGGGGGGCTATCCTGGGCATTTTAGGATGTCTAGAACATCTCTGGCCTCTGTCTACTATATGCCAGTAGCACCAACCCCCCCCCAATACACACACACACACAAACAACCCCATTGCAGTAAGTAGAAGCACAGACTCTTCATCATGGCTGCAAGGCCTGTGTAGTGTGGGTCCTGCCCACCTCTGTAGTCTCCTGGTAAACAGCTGGCTCCAGCCACACTGGCCCCTCATATCTGTCATGCTCCATCCACCCACAGTTGTGTGTGCTCCTCTCAGTCTGAAGCATTCCCCACCCGCTCCCATGGCCTTCCTTGACCCTACAGGCCAACTTGGGGTCCGTGGTTTACATTACCCTGGTTGTTTATGCCTTTCCTTCAGAGCGCCTATCAGAAAATGCAAAATTAAAGGTGTTCTCATGTGATTAATGTTGGTCTCCTTGCTATACTGTGAATATCATTGAAAGCTTGGTCCCTCTCCCTGCTTACCCTTGTCAAAAAGTGCTTTTTAAAAAAATATGTTTGTATTGATTTCAGAGAGAGGAAGGGAGAGGGAGAGAGAGAGAGAGAAACATCAATGATGAGAGAGAATCATGGATCAGCTGCCTCCAGCACGCCCCCTACTGGGGATCGAGCTGGAAGCCTGGGCATGTGCCCTGACTGGAAATCTAACTGTGACCTCCTGGCTCATGACACTCAACCACTGAGCAACACCGGCTGGGCAACAAGCACTTTTCTTTAGGGCCTCATCTCAGTGTCCCATCATCAGGGAGACCTTCTCTGAATGCTTGTGTCCCCAGCCCCTGCCCCCAGTCCACGGTAGGTTCCTTCGTTGTATCCCTGTGGACCTGGGTGCTGATCCTTCAGTGCACTTGCCTTAGTGTATAACTGTACTTTCAGTGATGGGATTGTTTGATTAAAATGTGGTCACTGCCCGGTCGGGTGGCTCAGTTGGTTGAGCATCATCCTGTGCACCAAAAAGGTTGCAGATTCGATTCCAGTCAGAACACATACCTAGGTTTCAGGTTCAATCCCCAGTCGGGACGCATACAAGAGGCAACCCATCGATGTTTCTCTCACATCAATGTTTCTCTCTCTCCCTTCCTCTCTCTCTAAAATTAATGAAAAAAATATCCTACGGTGAGGATTTTAAAAAATGTGATCACTGTCTGTCTCACTACCTATAGACTATAATCTCCTTGAGGGCAGAAGCAGCGTCCTTTTTTATTCAGATATATCCCTGGTGCCTAGTATATAATAGATGTTCAAATAAACATTTATTGAATGGAAATGAGTGTCAGCCTGCACTGACCAGACTCAAGCTGAATCTGATGGGTTCAATGAACTAGGTTGACTTGTTCCTCCCATTTGTGGCACTGTATTTATTTATTTAATCCTCACCTGAGGATTTTTCCCCCACTGCTTTTTAGAGAGAGTGGAAGGGGTAGAGAGAGAGAAACATTGATATGAGAGAGGCACATCGATTGGTTGCTTCCCTCATGCACCCTGACCAGGGCCAGGGAGTGAGCCTGCAACCAAGATTGGCTAGAATCGAACCTGGGACTTTTCAATCTGCAGGCCGACGCTCTAACCACTGAGCCAAACCAGCCAGGGCTGTGGCACTGTCTTTAAAACTAACGAACCACACAAACAACAAAAAAAAAATTTTAATTTTCAAATGAACACAGATACAAAAAAACACACATAACAGATGTTTGGCTTGATGAATTATTCCAGGGAAATAACCTCATAACTTCCACCAATTTAAGAAGTAGAACTTTACTGGTCACCAAGAAGCCCTGCTCATGTGTCCTTCCCCCATAAGTAACCACTAGCCTGACTTTTATAATAATCACTTCCTTATAGATCTTTAGTCTACTTTAGTCTAGGAACTCTCCCTCCATCCTTTCCTTCATCTTATAGTTGATTTTTGAAGAACCCTGGGCTGTTCCACCTCTGGAATTTCCCAGACTGGATTTGGCTGATTGCATATTCATGGTGCAGTTCAGTATATTCCTCTTTTCTCTGCATTTCTTGCAAATTCGCAGCTAGATCTAGAGACTTGATCAGATTCAAGTTCTGTCCCTTTGGCAAGACTAGAGGAGTCATGCAGTGTTCAGTTGTCTATGATGTGAACACCCGTTAAAACATAATATCTGTTTATTGATTGGGAGTTGTAAAATGGTGATATTCTAATTTGATTACTTCCTTTTCATTTAATAGTTGGAGTACTTTTATAAAATGATCCTTCCCTACATCTATGATTGGTTACTATTCACATAGTTTACCTAGGAAAGTCAGGACAAATGTTTCTTTCCCTTTATTTACCAGTTTTCTTTTATAAATAAACTATTTCTCCATCAGCCTCCAAAGTAAACTGGCTCTTTTTAAAAAATGCATTATGAATGAATGGTTCTAAGCATAATAAATGTGTTGCAGTCCTTTGTAATCATTGTCATAATTGTGGTACTGCCTTTTGGGCCACCCTGGTGCCCAGGCTGCATAATGGTCCTGGGTAGGGGCGGGGGGAGGGTGGCAGCACAGGGACTGCGAGACTGGTACCGTAGCAGCTCTCTCCATGACCCCTCCCTGAGTGGTCCTGGGAAGAGCCCCTCTTGGTGGAGCCCCTTCCTACCACCTTCTCCCAGCTGGTTCTGTCACTCACTTTCCTTCCCAGGTTTGGTCGGAAGAACGTGCTGTTTGTGACCATGGCCATGCAGACAGGCTTCAGCTTCCTGCAGATCTTCTCCAAGAACTTCGAGATGTTTGCTGTGCTGTTTTTCCTTGTAGGCGTGGGCCAGATCTCCAACTATGTGGCAGCATTTGTCCTGGGTATGGCCATCAGGTTGGAGTTGAGTACTCGATCCTGTGTTTCACCATCATCTCACCACCCACTTTCTGTAGACAGCAGTGATGTCCTTCAAGAGGAAATGGTCTCTAGCAACACCAACCAAGGCTTCTTGGAGAACCCAGTTTGTAGGCAGGGAATCTGTGTCCACCAGTTACTCAGCCTTGGGTCCCCAGCAGCACAATAGCCGAAATGCTGCATTCCATTTCTTTTCTGGACTCTGAGGTGTGGCTCCTTGGTCTTATTAGTACTTGATGGCCATTTTACTATAATTCACCCAAGATCCTCCATCAAAAAAAAGGGGAGGCCTGCCACTGCCCAGGGCTGAGGTAGCTACAGAGAGAGGGAGGTATGGCATGAGGAACAAGGGCGAAGGAAGAAAACCGCCTCTTCTGCAAAAGATTGTGGCCAGTGAAGTTGACTGGCAAGAATGAATTGATAGGTTGGGCTTTAGTCATGTGACCTTTGGGTTTTAATTCAGAATTCACATTGCAGGGCTTTTGCCTGTTCTCACTGAAAGGTTACCAGTCTCACTATTGGGAGGAATCTAACTTGAGCTTATTGGTCTTTGGGTTCCTTGGGTTGCATTGTTGAAAGGATTGTTTCTTTCTCTTCATATTTAACAGAATATTTTTCCTTAAAGGATAGCAGCATGTGCAGCCTTAGCAATGACTTCCCCTTTAATGAATTCTGCCTCGTGTGAGGATTAAATTTTGAGGCCTAATGTGGCATCTTTAGCATATGGCTTCAGGAAGTGATAAAATTTTCAGAAGAGGACTGTCACTGAGGGGCCCCCAGCAGATGGTCAGACTGGGCTGGATTCAGAGTCCCATCCCTCACGAGGGCTTAGAAACTTAGAGATGAATTATCTGGCTGCTTGCTTGTCTTTATGTTGACAATTGTAAAAGAGAAGATTAATAAGGAAATAGCTTAAATTAAAACGCTAACATGACTCCTCCCTTGTTTTGAACAGGAACAGAAATTCTTGGCAAGTCAGTGCGTATTATATTCTCTACGTTAGGAGTGTGCATATTTTATGCAGTCGGCTACATGCTGCTGCCACTGTTTGGTTACTTCATCAGAGACTGGCGGATGCTGCTGCTGGCGCTGACGGTGCCGGGGCTGCTGTGCGCGGTGCTCTGGTGGTGAGTGTGGCGCTATGCCCAGGGGTGAACACCAACAGGATATCTTCTGTTTGCCTTCACTAGGGGGCAGCAGCAACCCACAAATCCCTATTTGGGCTCCCAGAGACAGGAAGTGTAAATTATTTATAAGTTGCTTCAGAATGTTTTCTCTGCACTCAGAAAAGCCAAAGACAAAACAAAATCCCAAGACCTCAACAGACTTGTTCTCAGCCCTGTGCTGGGTTGCTCAGAGTTCAGGGAGAGGAAGCAGCAGCATCTGCGAGGTGATGGAGTCCTCCACGACCTCCAGGAAGTTATCAGGCCACAGGACTAGACAGTTCAGGACCTGCTTCTGGCTGTGTGTTGCCACTGAGGCCTCATGACACAGGCATTGGGAGACGAGGAAAAGCAATGGAAGCAAGAGTTCCAAGGCAGGCTACACAGAGGAAACCAGCCTCCAACACAGAGGAGTTGGGCAGGCAGAGAGGAGGCCATTCCTTACCCAGGGAGGAACACAGAAGAGGGGCTGAGGTGGGAATCGCCCTCACAGATGGGGATGGCAAGAGCACTGCCCCACGTGTTGCACATTTCAGAGCCTAGTGGGAGAGGTTACAGAGCACAGCATGGGTCCTGACCCTGACTGAAGGGCAGGGGCTACCTGGGGAGGTAGAAGATAAGATCCACATAGTCTCAGAGCACCTGGATGCCTTAATAAGTATAGTTAGAGAGTCTGACAAGTCAATTGGATGATTCTAGTGGAGATGAGGAAAAGCTAGAGGCTAAGAGGCCAGTACAGAAACTTCTACGGATGCCAGAGACAAGCAAGGGAGTACAGGTGAGCAAGGGTGTGGACTGGACTGAGCCTACAGCAGAAGCCAGGCTTCGAGAGCCCATCTTGCCTGGTCGTCTTAGTGTCCAGCAGGTGGCACCACTGCTCCTCAGAAATGGAGGTGGCCAGCCAATGGAGAAATCCCATCAGGGTGAGCAGGCCCCTCCAAATTTTGTGCACTCCATTGTACTCAAAAGCTCCCACTTTAGATCATTACTGGGTGTGGCATGGACCATCTCTTTGCTTTTGGCTTGGAAACACCAAATATTCCCCAAACCTAGCTCTGGTTCTGAGACCCCATTTCCCACCTGGACTCTATTTTACACCTGGTCTCTTGGGCAGGCATGCCTCAGTGAGATTGCTCCTTGTACTTCAGGTTCATCCCTGAGTCCCCCCGATGGCTCATCTCTCAGGGACGATTTAAAGAGGCAGAGGTGATCATCCATAGGGCTGCCAAAATCAATGGGATTGTTGCACCCTCAACCATCTTTGAACCAAGTGAGGTAAGCACTGCGTGGGAGCTGGTGGGACATCTCAGTGGCCATGGATTGAGGGTAGTACTACAAACGCCAGAAGTTCTCTCTTCACATGCGAGCCTAGCCCTCTCCCTGCCCAGAAGTGGAGAATGTGGTGCCAACTGCCTAAATCTCTTCACCTTTCCTGTGGAATTTAGGTTTTCATGCTTTATACACTCCTTTTCTAGGCAATCATATAGTCTTACCATTATTACTTTTAATAATAAGAGCGCTTTTTTTTTTAATATGTCTTTATTGATTTCAGAAAGAGGAAGGGAGAGGGAGAGAGAGAGAGAAACATCAGTGATAAGAGAGTCATTGATCGGCTTCCTCCTGCACACTCCATACTGGGGATCGAGCCCGCAGCCCAGGCATGTGCCCTGACCAGGAATCGAACCACGAGCTCCTGGATCATAGGTCAGTGCTCAACCGCTGAGCCACGGCAGCCGGGCTAATAAGAGCTTTTTATGAGTAATAGGCCTGTCACAAAGTTGGCGTTTTGGGAAATCGATGTTTCTCATACCTTAGGTAGTTTCCAATTGTAAAAAAAAATAGTTCATTATACAAAATAATGAAACAAACATAGATGTGGAGTTAGAGGTGTTCAGTCTCCTCCTGCCCACTGGTGGTTGGTTGTTGCGTGACCTTGGAGCCAGATCCTTTTTGATGTCCAGCCTTTCGCCCTACCCCACCCCTGCCTGCGAGCCCATTCTCACGCCATGAATAACCTCCTGGATCTGCCTGATTCCTGGGCCTTGCTTCCACCCTCTCTGCGGCAGGCAGCTCTCTTCAGTCTCATGACAATGAGAAGAGGTCAGACATAATTGCTGGCTGAGACAGTTCTGGAATGTGTGTCTGATCTGACAGGAAAATAGGGGATTGGCTGTGAGAACAGGCACTGGCAAGTCATGCTGAAGTGTGTGCGGAAGGCATGTTAGAGACACTTGGGACTCAGCATGCACACCAGGGTCTTGGGAAAGAGCCCAGTGATATGCAGCAGAGAAGCCACTGGCCACCACCAGGCCTGCCAGCCTCACAGTTAAGTGGCGGCCAAGCAACCATTCCCTCCCATCACAGGTCAGAAAGGGCTCTGATGCACAAAGGTCAGGGCGGGAGTAGATGGCAGAGAGGGCTTTTAATAGAAGTAGCATTGGTGGCTTTTCAGTGAGGGGTCAATCTGGGTAAACCCATAGTCCCACTGGCATCCTTGAGGAAATGAGGCTATTTCAGAGGATCCATTAAGTCTAAAGTTGACCTTTTGTTGAACTGCTAACTCTGGAAAAACAAGCTCCAAAGCTGGGTTTGCTTAAGAAAGAAACAGCAGTGTGTTTAGACGTGTGGTTTATTAATGTCCTTGGCTATGCTGAATTTCATAGGAAGTTACTCTGGGTGAAGCTGAGGTCAATTTTCCTGTTTTTCTATCTGAAATGTTTTTGGAAATAGACCAGTAACTACATGGTATGAAGACTCAAAACACTAATTCTTTTAAAATAGCAGATCAGTAAACTACACAGCCAGTTTCTTTCTCTGACCCAGAGGGCAGGGATCCAGCCTTGGGACGGAATGCTCAGAGGCCTCCCTGGAGTGTGGCCGCTGTCAGGGCGGTGCTCTGAAGGAGCCATCAGCGGGCCTCGCCTTGGCTGCGTCCCCTCAGGGACTGGTCACCTATTTTTTCTCCTCAGTCTTGATCACTAGTTTGTTACTGACAAGGCCTGGGGAAGCCTTGCGCTGCCCAAGTGCAGTCCCTGTACTTGCTCTTCTTTTCAAGAAAGAAACAAAACACTCCCCAACTCAGAGACGCAGTAAGCTAAGATTCCAGGGTTTCGGGTATGCTATTGGATCTCTGAGTGTCCCACCTTCTCTCCCTCCTATACCCTTGTCATTTCGTTCCTGCAGCTACAAGACCTAAGTTCCCAGAAGCAGCAGTCCCACAGCATCCTGGATCTGTTCCGAACCCGGAATATACGAATGGTCACCATCATGTCCATAATTCTGTGGTGCGTAAGTGAGACCTGTTTGAGGCTTCCACGCAAAGCCTCTGGCAGTGGCTGTCATGCCTCTCATTGGCAGATGTGGCTTAGACCAAAACCAAAAAGGGATGTGTCTTGCCATCACAGAAATGGGCATGTCACAATTCTTGATGGACTCTCAGAAAAGGAGAATGAAAACTGCTGTGGGGACTTTTGGGGGAAATATGGGACCGTTGGGGATCCCTCCAGGTCCTTGCTTACTCTGGGTCCCAGTTTAGTTGTTCCTGTTCCCTGTGCCCTGTGCCTCAGACAGTGGCTGAGGAAAGACAGGTAAGACCTTCAAGAAGGCTCTAAGTGAAGACACCATGTTCTTTCAGTTCCAGAGGCTGCTAGGAGTCTGTGTGGAAGCAGGATCCCTCCTTCTGGGATGTTTGAAGACTGTCTTGGAAGCAGGGCCACGGCCTCGATGTCCCCATCAGGTTCCTTCTAACGAGGCATTTCACCAAGTGTGTCAGGAAGGGAATTCAGTTGCCAGAGAGGGAACACATCCGAGCCCCGGAGAGCATTTGCTCAGTGGCCGGACACTGGGGGTTAGAGGCCACCACCTGATCCTGCTGGGTGAGGAAGGCAGATTTCACCTCAGAGTCCTTATTACCAGAGCCAGCCAGTCAGCCAGTCTTGTGGCAGCCAGCCATTTTGCTCCCTAGAGATAATGAGTCACCCATTTCCGAGAAATAGCCCAGGATCCCTCGGGGCAGTGCCCTGCCCAGGGTGGGCCTCAGACAGGGCCAGCATTCAGCCTGTGCCACAGACTTGCCAGTCTCCCGCCCTGACTCACCCAGGCTCTCCTGCTCTGGATTTCCCAGGAACTCCCACACGTGCCCCTTTCCGATTGTACCAGCTGTGGTTTCAGCCTGCACATGAGTCCAGTCTAACCCATAAAGGTCCAGCCTGACAGAGAATGCCTACTGGGGGGTAGGGACCAGGCCAGGGACACTGGGGTGGAAGTGTGGGGCATGTAGATGAGAGACGATGTGGCCCTGCCAGCTGCCTCCGACCAGCCTCTTCCTGGCTAGTTGCCACAGAGGGCCTGCTCTGGCTCTTTCTCCAAATGTTTTACTTCATTTGATCATATTCCTCCAGTCCTCTCCCACCCCACGTGCTGTCTGCTTCCTAATTCACTCCCCAGCCCCTCTACTTGCCGGGTTTGGGGAGGTCCAAAGAGTCGGGAAGTCGGCTTTGTGAGAGCTTCAGCTTAGGGTTCCTAAAGTCAACAGGCATTTTGGAGTTAGATTTCTTTCTTTTTTTCAGACCAAGTAAATCTGTCTGAATTTTATGTCTTTTTGCTATTTGGGATGCTCTGAAAGTGTTCTGACCAGGAGCTTACACTGGGCCAGAGACTTGGTTCAATCCGCTGCCCTCCCCTAAGGACTGTTTTGACTTTCCTGCTGCTCCTCCAGCTTTCTTCTGCATCCTGTTTCAGGATGACCATATCAGTGGGCTATTTCGGGCTCTCCCTGGACACTCCTAACTTGCATGGCGACGCCTATGTGAACTGCTTCCTATCGGCAGTGGTTGAAGTCCCAGCCTATGTGATGGCCTGGCTGCTGCTGCAGCACGTGCCCCGGCGCTATTCCATGGCCATGGCCCTCTTCCTGGGCGGCAGTGTCCTCCTGTTCGTGCAGCTCGTGCCCCCAGGTAGGGACGATGTGTGTCTGCGGTCTGGGGTCTTCTCTGAGTTACTCAGTCCCTACCAGGCTGTCTCCCCCAGTTAATTAAGAGAATAAAATAATGCCATCACAGCTCACCTGCATATCTTCATTCTTGGCAAAAAAATCAAGAGAAAGTGTCTCCTGAGACTAGACCCTCCTCATGGCCTGGACTCGGGGGGAGTGGGCAGAGCAACCAGGTGGGGCTGGTGGCTATGTTACCCTCCACCCAAGTTGGTGTGTGCATATTTGTTTTTGTCTTCAGAGGAAGGGGGAGGAAAGACAGCCATCCCCGTTACACTTTAACTGGCCCTTAGTCATTTATTCGACAGGTAGCTAGGGAGTTCCTGGGTGGGCACTGTGCTCGGGCCAGTGACGCAGGAGTAAACAAGTCGGGCAGAGCCCCAGGCCTTCCTGCAGCTCACACTCCAGTTGAGGAGACAGGCAACAAACAAGGAAATAAAGGCTTAATATAGTGCAGACTGTGTTACCTTTACAAGAAAGGACTGTGGAGAGCTAGCTGATATAGGGTGGTCACGGACAGTGTCCCTGGAGAGAGGCAGTTGAGAGAAACGTAGATGAAGTGATGGAGAAAGCCATGAAAGAGTCTAAGAACAGAGCACTGCAGGCCAAAGAAACCGCAGACAGAGACCCTGAGGGGAGAACAAGCCTGGCAGGTTTGAGGAGAGAGAGCGAGCTGGAAAGAGATGAAGAGAGGGAGAAGGGAGGGGCCTGGTTACCGAGTGGGTCTCATAGGCCATTAGTAGGATTTGATTTTTAAAACTGTCTTGGTATCCCACAGATCAGGGAGACAGCCCTTTAGACAATTCATAGAACAGTTCATGGACTCACTATGGTACCTAGAGTTGTCAGTGTACCCATGGATTTGGGTGCCTCTGGGGGTCGTTTGTGGGTCCCTGAGGCTGGCAACACTGCACAGGAACAGCCTCACTGTGGCATGGCAGGGGAGCCCAGGAATGTGTGTACAAGTTCACACCTGAGCTCAGGGCGACCCAAAGGCCACTCACAACATCTACTCATTGGCACGGCAAGCAGGGTAGGTGGGAGGATTGTTTCTGAGGGTGTGTGAGTCTATGAATTATTGAGGTCTGAGTGAGCTTCCCACTCATCCACAAGCCAGTGGTTAAGTCCACAGTGCCTGCAGCGTGAGGTTCTGGATGCCAGCAGACCCCTCGACAGGCCAGTGTTTAATGACTTCTGGCCTGGAAAGCAGGTTGGTTGGGAATATTGAGGGGCTCACTCTGGTGGTCGTCAGGCTGAGGGGAAGAGTGTGTGCTCACACAGCTGCAGGTCCCAGCCTCTCGCAGTAGTAACAATTTGAAGGGACCTCTTGGCTATAGCCCCTTATCACACAATAGTAAGTTATAGAAACTGCCTGCCCCACAAAAAGGGAGAAAGTATGTTTGTTTCAGGCCAAAAAAAAAAAAAATCAACAACAAAAAATCCCAGAACTCTCAACAGCAGTGTGCCTTGGGTTGGTGCCTTCTCCTACTTTCTTCCCTTTGCCTCTCCAGACTTGTATTATTTGTCCACCGTCCTGGTGATGGTGGGCAAGTTTGGAGTCACTGCTGCATTTTCCATGGTCTACGTGTACACAGCTGAGCTGTACCCCACAGTGGTCAGAAATATGGGCGTGGGAGTCAGCTCCATGGCATCCCGCCTGGGCAGCATCCTGTCCCCCTACTTCATTTACCTTGGTAAGTCCCATGGGCCAAGGGCACACAGGAGCCATGGGGCGGGAGCACTGGTGAGCTTTAATGTGAGCTGGAGATAGCTTGGTAACAGGAAAACATGCACACACAGCAAATGGGATCCATCTAATCTTGGATCTGTGCCTGGAGAAGCTTCTTGACCAGGTGGGTGTGCTATGGAGAGGCACTCCTTTGTAAATGGAAAACACCCTACAGACTGACTGGAAATTGATGAGAAAAGGGGGAGTTTTGTTCTTGGTTTAGCCGCCCATCAGAGGTGAATTCCCATATCCTAAGAAACTACAGGGTGGCTTAGGGAGCCAGTGTATTTAATTGAAGAAATCTCTTCTTGGAATCAGAATTTAAAAGGAACGGGAAGAGGGAAAGATGTCCATTCAAGAGGGCTGATTAACTGAGAATTTTTGTGACTTGGGACATGTGGCACCAAGGTTTAATCCTGTATGAAGATGCACCTTGTGCCATTTTTCTGTAGCAGGGCACCATTTTCTCTCCCTCAAAATCATTTTCTCTTGGCAGCTGCTTTCCCCTGCACATCCCTCGCTGGCACATATTTGGGGAGGGGTGCACCCACCTTGAGATCATCTAGAATGGTTGGTGAACATGCGTAGATCTGACAAGCAAAAACATCTTGCTTGGCCTGTAGGCACACTGAATGGGTTATAACATATCTGGAGAGGTGGAGGAGCTATTCCCGTACCTGGGCGAGTGTCTTGAGTTTCTTAGAAACCCAGCATTGGGAAATAGGAGTAATAATGATCACGGCTCCACTCCCTTCCCCTGCACCGTAAGACACTGCTGGGCCTCTGGGCATGTCGGTGCCAACTCTGGGTTCTGAGACCTGTCTAGGTGTGAGACTCAATTTTGGCAGCACAGACTGAGGCTGAGAGGGCAGGTGATCCCCTTTACAGAGTCCTGGGAGCACAAAGGGATAGAGGGAGACCAGGTCTAATTGCACCCCCGGCTTGGGGCTCTGTCTGCTTCGCCCTAGGTGCCTACGACCGCTTCCTGCCCTACATTCTCATGGGAAGTTTGACCATCCTGACAGCCATCCTCACCTTGTTCCTCCCAGAGAGCTTTGGCATCCCCCTCCCAGACACCATTGACCAGATGCTAAGGGTCAAAGGGTAAGGAGGCCTCTTTGTTCACCATGTCAACACACTGGGTCTGGGCCAGGCAGAGAGTGCCCCACAAAGTCTCACCAGCGCCGTGGACTAGTTTAGCCATCAGAGGGTTAGAAGTGATTACATCCTGTCCTCTCTGGTCTGACCCACATCACCATGTCACCATGTCCACCTGCACAGCAACAGCAACTCTGGGACAGTACAGAGACTAGGAGAAACCTTTCAGAATCTGCCGGGGGAATTTTTTCCCTTTAGTGAGATATCCTCAGTTCTAGGTTTGGTTTATTTGTTTTGACACTGGACGTGTTTTTAAGATTTGCTACTAACATTTGTCTTGTTTGTGTTTATAGAATAAAATACAGGCAAACTCCAAGCCACACAAGGATGTTAAAAGATGGTGAAGAAAGCCCCACAGTCCTTAAAAGCACAGCCTTCTAACAACCTTGAGGGAGTGAGAAAGCGAAGAGGAAAGACTGGGTCTTATCAGAAATGGTTTGTGTAGACGCTGAGTCCTTCGGTGACAAAGGTCTTTGCTGCTCATTCTGTTGACCCTTTGCCTTGCTCGTGGATGGGCACCTGACTCAGAGGCTGCGTGTGGTCCTAGAGCTAGAGTGCCACCTTCCCTCCAGCGACACCGTGGCTACGGACAGACAACTTTAGAGAAATCCCAATTCAGTGATGGACAGGGCACTTCCTAAGAAGTGAACTAGAACCATTGGGATTTGGAAGACTTTGAGAGGCATCTGCTAAATTTACATTTTAATTTTAGACTTCCTGAAAAGGCCCTCAATAAAACTGGAGGCCTAAATTCCATCCCCTAAATCTTTTCTCCCTTTCCCTTTAATGGTGCACTTTAGAGGAAATCATTTCAGCCCTGGCTGGTGATCTCAGTGGTTAGTGCCGGCCCATGCACTGATGGGTCTTGCGTTCCATTCCTGGTCAAGGGCATTTACCTGGGTTGCAGGTTCTATCCCCAGCCCCATTTGGGGTGTGTGCAGGAAGCAACCAATCGTTGTGTCTCTCTCAAATCCATGTTTCTCTCTCTTTCCCCCTCCCTCCCTCTTCCACTTTCTCTAAAAATCAATGGAAAAAATATCCTCGGGTGAGGATGACAAAACAAACAAAATCATTTCACAGGGAATTTGATTTCTCACACTTTCTCAGTTACAAAGGTTATTAACTGGGTGTTGCTCCCCCAGGGCAGGAGAGCCCAAGTGTGGGGAAGCCTGCAGGTAATCAACGTGGCGGGGACTGAGCAGGTACAGAACACAGGCAAGTGCGTTGCGAGCTCTTGGACTACTCAGTGTGACTCCTGGGTAGACTTGTTTACATCTGATCAAAGCACTGGGCTTGTACAGGCTCATAACAAATGCATCCTTGAACCTACTATTCTTGTTTTCATGCCATGTGAATCAAACCTCCTAGCTATTACGATGTCTGTGTTTGGTTTGAAGGAAGTGTATCAGTGAGAAAGAAAGATGAACAAACTTGTCTCTTCTCTTAAAACTATAATGTGGATTCTGTTTGTGTGTTGTTAGTTGTTTATTTGTGGTTATGTCTTTTTCTCCTTAAGTTATTTGCCCTTCAGAATAGACTTAGGAAGGGCTGGTTCCATAGCCTCCTAGTTTGTGTCTTTTTTTTTTTTTAACCCAGACTCTGTGGCAATGGTCTGCACTTGCCACTTGTGCAGGCTTTACCGTTTAGCCACTAGCATGTCTCAGAGTGCCAAAACTGACATCACTGGGTTCCTTTTGTGATGGCAAAACATGGGGAAAATTACAAAGAAAGCTAAATCACGTTCAGTCTTTCGGAGTTGCTCGCTTCGGTCATGTGACACTGGGAGGTATTTTGTGTTCAGTGTAATTGTCTTCTCTTTTCTGATTGTTACTGTGGTATTCCTGCAACATATGCTTCACCTGGTTAAAAAACACATTTTTGGGAAAGCTACTGAAGTGCCTTGGGAAGTGAAGATGTTTTAATAAATAAAATGATTTTTTAAATAATAGCAACTGCCCACAACCTTTATTTCCACAATTTGGGGAGCATGCCACACCATCACCTGACTTTCCTGTGTCACCTCGGGCTAATTTTAGCAGTGGTTTGTGATTAGCCTCTAGAGCTGAGACTTAATCCTTGTGTGCTAGAAACTTTCACTCTATTAATTGACTATTGACTGAGACAGGCTTCTTACACAAATGTCTTAGCCTGGGTTCCCCTAAAAGCAGAGCCTGAGACCAGCACTCCTGTGCGGTTAGATGGTTTATTTGGGAACAAGATTCCAGGGAGCAGGAATAGAGGACGGGGGAGGAAACGGGGAAGGAGCAAGACCCAGCACAGGGATGTATTATCAGGTTGGCCAGCACCAAGGGCACCGCTCCATCCAGCCAGAACATCTGAGGAGCCTTATGAAATATATCTCAAAATTATCTGCACACAGATGAAAGGGAAAGCATTTATGTATTGGCCTCCATTTCCCATTCATCAAAGGCAGCCCCATAGATGTCAGCTCCTAACATTTCCAGGTTGCACATGCTTAAGTCCCAAACAGGTTCTGTCCCCTGGGTAGAAAGCAAGAGGTAATATGCAGAAGGCCCGAGGTGAGGCTCTGTCAGACTGCACCACAGTGGTCAAAGCTGCTGTGCACTGGTCACTGCAACTGGCTAGAGTGAGGGGGTGCTGAGAGGGTTGGGGTTGGACATGGTGCACACGCACACGCACACACACATAACGTGTCACAGGGCAATCTGGGCTAGAATGTGTAGGTAGATCTGGGTAAAAAGTGCCAGTGTTGGGTCGATAACTCAGAAGGCATGAAGCATAACAAAACAAGCAGCATCAAACTCAGGCGGGAAGGAAGGAAGCTCATCTCTAACACTGTTGGCTTTTCCACTCTCAGACCCAATCGCCTGCGGGGTTCCTGATTAACTGGTTACACAGTGGCTCCAGAATATGAATTATAGCCCTGCCTGCCCTTTCTCCTGTTGCATGAATGAAGAGTTTCTGAGTTTTTTTTCTTATTCTCAGTGTTACTAATTCCAGTATTTGTGGCCTTCTGGGAGAAAAAATTATAATTGCCTGAATGCTTAGAGCTCTTACCATGGGAACAATAACCTGTCACTATTCCCCATGCTGAGCCAAGTATCTGGAAACCCAAGGCCTCCTGGCCTCTGTGTGGCTTTTTCTATCAGGGCCATGACTTTGGGATGACTGACCACGTTATCCTGACCAGGGATCTCCTATCAGGAAGAGAGGTGTGCATAACCTATAATCACAGGAATGGCTGGTGAGTAACAAGGCGCTCAGTTAATACCTGTAAGAATTAGAAGCCAGGATACCCATGAAAATAATGATAAAGCAAAGGAGGTAGACTGACAATTCAAATCAAAAATATAATAAAAATATTTGCCACGGTGAAAAGAAGGGTTTACCCCATAATCGTTTCCTATTCTTAGGAATGAGTTTCTGTCTCCATCAGAGCTCCCTGAACACTCTCATGAATTCCAGAAGGGCTGATGTTTGCCAAAGAGAATTATTCTGCTTAACACCTAGTCTAAGTGATGGCAAATGAGGTGGGCAGAGGGCCCTGTTGTTAGATAGTAAGCAGCACAACACATCTTTCCCCGGGTGTTTCATTTCATTCCTTTTCCTAAAGGGCTTTTAGGCTGATACAAAGAGGCTTAATGCAATACATGCAGCATTATCAGTACCTTATGCTGTGTGCCTCTGCTACAGCAAAAAGCACTTTGGAAAATACATCTCTTTTCTCATTTGATCTTCATAAAACTCCAGTGAGATTGATAGAGGGTGCCCAGGATGACTGAATCAGCGATTTCCCAGCAGAAATCATGTCTTTCTGGAGTCTCAGGCAGACCTACCTCAGAAGGTGTCACCTTGGGAAGAAGGGGCCGAATTTAAAGGACAGTTATGCAAGAAGTTGCCAGGGACATTGGAACATCATAGCTCTGTTGGGCCAGCCAGAGGGCAACAGCCAGGCACCTGACTGACACTTTTTACCCCAGAAGTCTCACATGAGAAACTTCATGCGTGTGTGGATGAGGTGTGGAAATATACTGTACACATCAAGGATAGACTAAGTGCATGCAGTGGTATCAGTAATTGCAAATATCTAATAAGGGGTTGGCAATAAACATATATAAAGAATCCCTACAACTCAACAATAAAAATAATTTAAAATGGCCAAAAATTTCAGTAGACATTTCTCCCAAGAAGGTATACAAATGGCCAATAAACACATGAAAAGATCTGCTAATCATTAGGGAAATGCAAATCAAAACCACAATAAGATATCACTTCACACCCATTAGGATGACTGCTATTAAATATACATATTTAAAAAAAAAAACACAAAAAATTACGTATTAGCAAGGATGTGGAGAAATTGGATCCCTCATGCATTGCTACTGGGAATGTAAAATGGTACAACTGCTATGGAAAACAGTCTGGCATTTCCTCAAAAAATCAATCAGAATTACCATATGATCCAGCAATTCCACTTCTAGGTATATGCTCAAACAAATTGAAAGCAGGGACTCAAACTTATTTGAACACCTATGTTCATAGTATTATTTACAACATGCTAAGTGAAATAAACCAGACAAAAGGACAAACATTGTGTGATTCTGTTCATATGAGGTACCTAGAATACTCAAATTAATAGAGATAGAAAGTAGAATAATGGTTTCCAGGAGCTGAGGGAAGAGGTGATGGGAGTTAGTGTTTAATGGGTACAGAGTTTCAGTTTAAGGTGATGACAAAGTTCTGGAGCTGGATGGTGGTATTGACTGCACAACAATTTGAATGTACTTAATACCACTAAAATGGTTAAAATGGTAAATTTTATGGTATGTATACTTTACCACAACAATTTTTTAAAAGAATTATTTAAGCACTGTATAAGAACAATAAACAAACATTCTTAAATATTAAATTCAGGCAATAAAGTACCCATGAATCCTTTTTGAAAGAAACTATTTAAAAATGAAATGCAGCCCATTAATAAATGAATCCATTTGTAACTCAGAACAAAGACCTAATTTACCTAAGATAAAAAGATCTCCTACAAATAATGAAGAAAAAATCAACAACCCCAAGACATATAAACAATACACAGAAACTGAAGTACAGATGAGTTTTAAACCTATGAAAAAATTCTGTACCTCCCTCCTAATGAGAGAAATACACGTGAAAACTATATTGAGGCATCATTTTCACCCATCCATTCATTCTCCTCTCTGTATAAATGCAAAGGAAAATGTATCTAATAATATTTTTCTAATATTAATAGTAATAATTTTTAGATGGCAAGATTTGGGAGAGCTTTTAAAGCATATATCTATATTGTTTGTATTCTGTATAATGAGAATACATAAGTTTTGTAGTGGTTTTTAATTTAAAAAATAAAACAGTAAAATATGCAAGATGAAGAAAAGGGTGAATTCTCTTCCTCTGTGTACTTTTCAGTATTTTTAAAAACTCCTCTAATCCTTTCCCAAACCTTCACACATTTTATTTTTATTTTTGTTCATCCTCACCTGAGGATATTTTTTCCACTGATTTTTAGACAGAGTGGAAGGGAGGGAGAAAGGGAGGGGGAGAGAGAGAGAAACATGGATGTGAGAGAGACACATCAATTGTTTGCCTCCTGCAGGAGCCCCAACCAGAGCCGAGGATCGAACCTGCAACCCAAATACATGCCCTTGACCAGGAATGGAACCCAAGACCCTTCGGTGAGTGGGCTGATGCTCTAACCACTGAGCCACATGGGCCAGGGCTTTGCATATTTTTAATGTAGTTCATTCAGCTAATATGACACGCTTGTCACTGCTGCCTCCGCCCATGTGTTGCCCTCCTTTGTCTCTGATTATCCCAGTTCTACCCATGTCCAAGGTTCACCTCAAGCACACGCTCTTTCCGGAGGCGCTCTTTCCGGTGACTTACCGGCAAAGTGCCCTCTCCAGGCG